AAGAGGGGTTGGGGTAGAAAGGTTGGTCTACTCTAGATGACCTCTTAAGGTCCCTTCCAGCTCTGCTTCTCTAGGGCTCTAATCCTACATTGGAAACCCTCTGATTAATTATTGGTTGGATTGAAACTACAGAATCTTAAGCAACAGGGAGCATGCGTATAAGCCAAAACAGCTGAACAGAAGCCACACCCTGGAACTCTTCCCTGTACTATCTTAAGCCTCTGTCACAGGAGGCTTAAGGCAGAAGCTGAGGAAGCACATAGTTCAGCACATCAGTCACACTCGTGAAAGTGACCTTTTGTGGGGCTTAGCTTTATTAACCTTGAATGACCAGCATCCTTTATTGCTGATAGTCTTGTCACATTGGCCAAAATATTCTAAATATTAGATAGAAGGTCTGACAGATTATGAGTTTAGTTGTAACATTTCTAGTTTAAATGTGTTCATGTTTTAAAAATTCCATGCCTCAGTTCCCTGAGGAACAATGGGAGGGGTGAAACAGAAATGAGGGTTAAGGGACACTGAAGCTAGAGTTACCTGGCCTATGTGACAGAAGACCCCTCAGACACAGAGGATTAACACTGTGACAAGGTGGTGACACCAAACAGGTCTCCAGGGAAGCTGAGAAAGGTAAGCAACCCGATGGAAGGAAGGAACAGCCTGAAAAACAGGATCTGGACTAGGAAATGAAGATTCTGAAGCAAGGTAGAAGTACAGAAACAGCTGAGCTAACTTCAGGGTGCTCAGATCTGTGCAGAATGGACTGGAGACAGAGACTACTTCACTCTTTGGAGGGGGCAGGATTGTCTTATTGTGCTGGCTTTGTTGCTGCTTGGCACTTAGTGTGTATTGCAATCCCCTTTGAACAGGTAAGGCGCAGCCAGACGAGCGTGCACGTGCCTCTTGCCCTGTCTCAAACCCCTTTGAGACAGGGCAGGAGGCACGTGCGGGAATGAGAAAATTAGACCCCTAGATATACAGGGGTCTAAAACCCCAAAGTTTAAAAACGTGGAGGAAACCGGAGGCTGGATCTCTGTGGTTGGCCCCTCGCCCTGGTGCTGAATCAGCGTGCTTCAGCACCAGGATGCCAGAGCCAGTGAGTAAGGGTCTGGGGGGGGCTGGGGGAAGAGATTATGGGAGGGACCCCTGCCAGCCCTGCCTGCTCCCCCAGCCCCCCGATCCCCGCAGTGCCTGGGCCCCCCCGTGGCCCGTGCCCCCGAGGCCCCTGATCCCAGCAGTGCTCGGCCTCAGCACCCCCCTG